AGCGTAGAACGTGACTGGTGCAGACTCAGCGAAACTATTGCGATAGTGGTTATACCACGCTTTTATCAACACCAAATACAAACCAAGGTTAAGTTTATTTAATATAAAAAATCGAATATTATGAATTCTTTTATTTTATTGCCTAGTAAGTATGTTTTCAGCTTGGCAACCATGGAAGGATCAATACACGTTTATTATGATGCAACTAATACCATTTTCAGTTGTCTTTCAAATCTTTTTAACATAAACATTATATAGGTCTTGATAAAATGCAGTCGATCATAAATATAACAAAAGCAGTTGACATTTACCCAAGATACAGTAATATATATATATATATACATATATATAATGTATATATATGATATATGTATAATATATTATATATATTACTGTATCTTATATATATATATTATATATATATATATATATATATATATATATATATATACTGTATATACGGCACTTATTTTCATATACCATATACACAGGGAAATACATTATATATTCTTTATGTTTGTATGATAATATATATGCTAGGACTTAATTCTGCAGCTTGTTTTAATCCCAGTGTACAATCAGAATATATTTATGTTCTCTCAAAAACAACATCACCCCTAGTGCCTCATAAAAAAACTCTATAGGATGTGAGAACATCAAATGTTCCAACTCTGTTTGAAAGGTCATCCTCGTTAATACAGTATCTTCAATAGAGGGACTAATTTGTCTTGTTCACTTAAATCTGATTCATAAGACAAAAAATAGGTTAATGCTGATAAGGTGTCGACACTAGTTTTGGGCTTATATAATACTCAAGGCTTCAAAAATGCTGGAGTTTATTAAACGAATCGTGCGCTGTAGAGACGAAATTTGTAATTCCGAAATTATTTTGTACAATAGTTCGTCAAATTATAGAGTATGCCATCCCCGCATGGCTGCCGCATCATAAGGGGCATCTAAACTCAGATTTTATCATTTATGTGTAATCGGAATAGTGCATTAGGAGACCTACATGGAATTCTGTCTCGGCCTGTTTCAGATATTTTATGCTTTTACTTTGTAGCATTGTAACCGGTTGTTGTTTTTTATGTGTTTTACTGAGACGAAATAAATGAAATGAAATGAAATGTATTGTAAGATGACTGCATTTAAGCTGCTCTCTCTGGTTGCATAATGCTATTGAGAATCAGGCATATAAGTACGTGTCAAGAATAAAGCAACTTATGGAATACTTTAGCTGATATATGATATCATGATAGAGAAGAAGGGGCAATCCACTGTCAGTGTCAGAATGTACTATAAATTTAAGGGAAAAGCACACAGCAGTGAGTTAATTATTATTTAAACGTAAGGTTAACAGGCTTTCTTAGGTTTTCAGGTAAGGGGGTAAGGGGTTTTTCCCCAGATTTTATTCCTACAGACGATATATCGCTAATACGAAGAAGTTACATTTATCAAGAATTAAGTTTTACTTAACGTCATGTACAAATACCGCCGACCATTAATTTTATTTAAACAAAATGTTGCTTCTGACGTGGTCCTAAAGGTCTACATTCGACGCGATTAGCTTCTCACTGACCATAATAGGTCCATGCACTGACTATACAATTTTACTTATAGCGATGTTACATCAACACAGGAAATATTTAAACAGTTAATTATCGAAAATTGAAAGTTAAAAATTCCGTAGTTATTTGACAACTCGTAAATGTGTCAATGTCGTTGCATTGAAATGTATGCTAACTTTTAATTACATCGATAAAATACGCATGTTAATACGGTTCAATATCGACTTTCGCCCCTAGCTAATTGATACATAAAGGTCGTTTAATAAAATAGTTCGAGAACTCTACGGCGTGATACGAGTGGGAGTAGAAATAAGATCCGAGCTCTTGAATTGTAACATTTTCGTAATTAAGAGCGATTCTGAAACCTTATGAATATGACAAGCAAATATGCATCGGGTTTTTTTTTTATATAATAATACAAAACAGGATTAATTATTATTTATGGTTGTGAGAAATCTCCATATTGACTTTAACCAATGATTTTCATCGTGCCATTATATCCTTATAGTTCCGGAGATATATATGGCAGATCCGGAATGTCGCGTGCGTTAGAACTATAAGCCTAATATTTTGAGGAGGACTGAAGAGGCACTTGATCGCACGCAACATCAAATCCAACACGCATTAATAAGCATAGCATATTAGTTTGGTCCTTGGAATAATATTAAAATAGGCCTATACGGTAGTGTAGTACATACTTTACAATTTAACAGGTTAGAAATTGCTTTAAAAAAACAAGGCAACGATCGCAGGAATCACCACTTTGTGTACCTCTTTTAAAATCTAATATAGGAGGCGGCAATGTAACAAAAACGTACATTTCATCTAATGTGTTATTTATTCCCTGTAGAGCACCGATCACGGGCAGTGCATTTTTTCGAACGCGCTGTAGGCGAAAAAATGAAACACTGAGGTCGGTGTATGCGAACAGAATCAGTCATTTCTTCCCGACGCCCTACAGGCGCATAGTCCAGTAGCATGCTTATAACAATAACAATAATAATATTAATAAAGGAGGCCATATTATTGTATTTGAGATATGATTTATTTTATCATTATACTAACGAGAATGATTTACGATGGTTCTTAACAATAGCATTTTGTGGGCAACATTAATATTGCGTTTACAGTAATGCAAGTTATGGAAATGATGCCAATCGATAATTGTTATTATATTGAAGGACAAATCATTAATGTAATTCTTTCAAATACGCCTAACATAACGAGAAGTTATACAGCAATTCATTTGGGTACAGTAATCAGTTGCGTTGCTCCAGAAGGGTTAATTTTTGTATGTTTGCCCGAGGGGACTAGCGTCTGCCGGTTGTGATTTTAGGGCGTTCAATACTACTGACACAACGTGTGTTCATCGCACGACGCCGTAAGAAATTCGCTAGCATTCAATCATTTTTTTAAATATCATAATTGTTCAATAGAGGTTTTAAAACATAATCTAGCTATTATTAGGAATTTCTGACTTAATCAATTTAAAGTATGTTTCTGCGTTCGGGGTTGTTTCACATTTTAACAATAATCAGTTCTTCGTTGAGATTTGCGCTTTCTCTGTAGGTGAAGGTTCAGATGAATGAAGAGTTTATTAAAGAAGCTACATAAAGGGCTCTTTGGTTCTTTGGTGGCCAAGGTCCATTAGCAAGTTATGACGTCATTGACCATGACATAAGGCTTGGTACTGTCATAGTCAATTTTCTACTGACTATGGTACTATCGACATAAAAGTCGGTGTTACGCCTAAACTCGAACAGGCGAGTCGAATCTATGGCTGGGTAGTTAAGGCAGGGGCGCCGAAACCTACAACCATAAATCGGCGGAAGTTCGAGCGGCACCCTCGCCTATTTGTCTGGTGGATATCTTCTCGGATAAGGACTATAAACACCGTAAGCCCAGTGTACACAATTGGCTCATGTCCCTTTATAAAGAATCCACACAAATGTAATTGTAGATTGGACCAAGACAATTCAGATGGATGTAGCCGAAGGAGGTTTTTTATTTTAGGATTTTAAACCTGACATTCCAAATGTAATAATTACATTGTTCAAAATTATTGCATCCCAAATGCATTAACTACTGGTACAAGGAGAGAAACAATATCAACCATAGTATGAGGCCTATTTTTCTACAAGTCATGATGACATCACATGATGACCATATATAAGCACATGATAAATATATGGGCATGTACAACAGAAAGAGAAGGCTCAGTAATAAAATGTATATAACATATAGCATGGTATTACTGCAAGACGGTTTGTCTTTATCTCTTTATGTGTATCATTCTTATATTCCATTATCTATATTTTGTATTAGTAGATCATCCTAACCCATAGGGCCTTCTTTGTAATTTCTACTCCGATTGGAGGCAAATAATTTCACATTTTATATAAATGATGTACCGTATAAATGCATGTACTCGATGTGCACACATAAATAAGAGTTAATGATAGCGAATTCCATTTAACTCAGCTAGCGCGCATCAAAAACTATAACATGCAGCACAATAGTATACCATGAACTAGAGGCTATCATCGAATAAAAAAATAATGGATATAAACAGTACGTCTTGCATTACTTGACCTTAATTATAAATGGATTGCCATTGTAGCCTAAAGGGGTTAGCCTTATGATTAATCAAGGAACTGGTGATAAGGGTAGATACTGTATAAATATGCACATTTGTTGTAGGCGTTCGGTCCATGCAGTCGACTTTGGCGTAATTGAGAACGTGTGACGTAACGTCTCTCTAAAATTGGCTAATGTGGCTCGTTTCGCAAAATTGTTTTAACCATGAAAAACTACTCATCGATGTATAAGAATTCCATGCAATGTAGTTACTCTTATCCCTGTGGAACCATTTGAAATTCGATGCGTAACAAAAGCAATAGGTCTACGATAGCCAAAAGTTTCCTGACGTCGCTCAACCGCCCTCAATTTTACAATAGGATCGATAAATACCAGAAGACTGTGTCCAGTACTTCAACAATCTGCACAACGAGCAGTAGTACGCACTGTTTAATGGGACCCGAAAGAGCTATTTAGTAAAATCAAAAATTAGAATCTGCTCATTGAATGTACTTACTGTCGATTGATATTGCAAATTCATAACAAACGTCGCCAACTACATTGTTGCACTTGCAATGAATACGGTAACGTGTTTATATTCACATTACCTTTTCCCAGGTTCTCCATCAGGATCAGTTTTTTTTTATGTTTACAACTTTCATGCATAACTTGAGTTAGGTCTAATAATGTTTGGAGCTATAATGTAAATATATTTGCGGACTGTATTTAAAATCATCAAGTCATCAAGGAAATTTAGATTAGGGCCGCATGCTGCAGCGCCTACATTGGTCAGTACAGCGGGAAACAACTCCTATAAATATAAACAATAATAACAATGCTAAAGTAGGTATGTACATGCTCCACTATGTGTGATCGTTTCATTCAGTTGTATGAGAGAAAGTGTCTGGGGGTGCACATATATTCTCTGGGTCTTTGTGGTCTAATGGGTATGATACTCGCTTTGACAGAGGTTGTAGGTTCGAATCTCGCCAGACACTTTATTCATTCAACTGAAATATTCGTTGATGAGCTATGCTTGATACGATTATTACGTACATGTTCCTATTTGAGCACTGTTACTTATTAGTTATCTATTTGTTAGATCAATGTTTCCATACAAATCAGTAAAGGGCGCTACCTATGCCTTTTTTGTAAGGTTGAGAGCAATCGAATTTTTAATTAAAATAATACCCAAAGTTAAGATTAGTCTCTGTCTTTCATTCATGTATCACGGTGTACGCAATAAAAAAATATA